TTAATGGACAGATAAAGAGTAAGCATATCTGCTCTTGTTCCCCACCTTAAGGAGAAAGCATTGTATCTTCTCCAGTCAACGAAGCTGCCAGTATCAAATTTTGATCCTCTATTTTCTTTAGAATGAACGGTTGTTAGCGATGTCACCAACCTACTGTGGTCATCGTGGATGCTGACATCTGGGATATGTTTTGTGAAGTAATTATTGCTTTAGGTGTAGACCTTAAGGTGGTGGAAGGTGTATTTGGATGAGACTCCTGGTGTTGTCATTTTAGAAGTCGCTGTGGATTTCATGGTAGGAGCTGTCACATTGAGAACAAGGAAACTATAGTGGTTGATGGTTTCACAGTGCTTTTGCTGTTAGATTTGTTTGTATTGTTGGAAGACACATTCTGTTCTAGATTGGCACTTGGAAACTTTGCATTTGGAGATCCCTGTGGGTCAGTGGCCCTCACAAGCACCAGCACCTGCAGCACCCCCAGGACCAGTGCTTGCAGGGACAGCAGCCTCATGGGTCCCCGAGCTTGGAGGGAGCCTTATCAAGAGCAGCTTCTGAGGGACCAAATAGAGCTCTGGATGGGGCCATGCCCCTTCTCCTCCTTCCGCTTCCCCCCTCCCCTTTCTTCCTTCTTCTCCTCCTCCTCCTCTTCTTCTTCTTCTCCTTCTCCTACTCCTTCTCCTTCTCCTTCTTCTTCTCCTTCTCCTTCTCCTCCTCCTCTCCCTCCCCTTCCCCTTCCTCCTCCTTCTTCCTCTTCCTCCTCTTTCTCTTCTTTCTTTTTCTCTTTCTCCTTCCCTCCCCCCATTTCTTTTAGAGATTATGGACCTAAATCTACCAAGTGAATTTTCATTCATTTATTTTTAATTTTATTAGAACATTTTAGATATACATAATGATGACACTCATCATAAGGAATTTATACCCGTACGTGACATATCTTGACTCTTTTTTTCCCAATCCTCTCCCCTCCCTTCAACTCCTCTTCCCCCTCCTTATTTACAAAAGCTTTGTTTCCATTTTTCTTCTATTCTTTTTTCCCTTTTCCCTTCCTTCCTTTCTCTCTCCCTTGTTCCACTTCCCATTTGAACATTTCTTCCTGTTTCCCAATATTTATTATACATTTTAGTCTTTGTTTACCCTTTCAGTTTCTCACACGAGAGAACAACATGATGTTTAAATATGTGTGTCTGATTTCTTTCACTTAAGAGTATTGTCTGAAGGTGCATCCACTTACCAAGTAATGTCTCAAGCTTATGCTTTTTTATAGCAGAGTAGTACTCCATTGTATTAAAAAAAATCCCACATCTTCTTTATCCATTCATCCATTGATGGGTTTTTGGGCTGTTTGCAAGATTTAGCTATTATGAACTACAAAGATACCATGATAAAAATAGCATAATACTGGCAAAACCCCCCACAAAAATTAAAAAATACACAGACCTAAGAATCAGTGGAACAGATTAGAAGATGCAGAAACAACTCCAGACACACTCAGCTACCTCATCTTTGACAAAGGGGCCAAACACCCATACTGGAAGACAGCCTCTTTAATAAATGGTGCTGGAAAAATTGGCTTTCCACATGTCAAAGATTAAACCTAGACCCATATCTCTCACCATGTACTAAACTAAAATCAAAATGGATCAAGGATCTAAATATTAAAACAGAAACACTAGACCTGCTGGAAGATAGAATAGGTAGCACTCTTGAAGACACTGGTGTAGGCAAAGACTTTATGAACAAAACCCCAATCGCACAGGAAATACTACAAAGAATCAATAACTGGGATCTCATCTTATATTCTTGAAAGAAATAGAAATAACAATCCTACAATTCATATGGGAACCTAAAAGACCCAAAATAACCAAAGCAATCTTGAGCAAAAAAAGCAATGCTAGAGGTGTCACAATACCTGATTTCAAAATATACCATAAAGCCATAATATCAAAAAAGCATGGTACTGGCACAAAAACAGTCACATACCAGTGGGATAGGATAGAAAACAGACTTAAACCCATGCAACTACATCATCCAATTCTTGACAAAGATGCCAAAAGCACACATAGCCTCTTTGAGAGAAAGTGCCTGGAAAACTGGACATCCATGTGTAGAAGATTGACCAGAAACTTTGAAACTGCTAGAAGAAAACATAGGGGAAACCCTTGAAGCCAAAGACAGAGGCAAGAATTTCCTGAAGAGGATCCAATAGCATAGGAAATAATAGCAAGGACCAACAAATGGGACTACATCATATCAAAAAGTGTCTGTATAGTAAAGGAAATAATCAACAGAGTTAAGAGACAGCTTGCAAAGTGAAAGAAAACTTTTGCCAGCCATTTGTCTAACAAAGGAGATTAATATCTGGAATATATGAAGAACTAAAAAAATAAAACCCAAAACATCAAATGGCCAAATCAATAAATTAACAAATGAATTGAACAGAGTATTCTGAAAAGCAGAAGCACAAATGGCCAGTAAGTGCATTCAATATATTTAGCCATTAGGGAAATATAAAAATCAAAATTACATTGAGGTTTTACCTCACCCCAATCAGAATGGTTAACATCAAGAAAGTGGAAAAAAATGAATGCTGTCAAGGATGTGGGGAAAAATGAACTTTTCTACATTGTGTGTTGGCATGTAAATTTGTATAGCCACAATGGAAATCAGTATGGAAGTTCCTCAAAAAAAAAAAAAACAGAGCTACCATTTGATCCACTATACCACTCCTTAATATATAGTTGAAGCAATTAAAATCAATGTACTGTAAGGATACATGCATACCCATGTTTATCATGGCACAATTCATGATAGCCAAGACATGGACCAGCAAATGCATAAAGAAAATGTGTCACATAATACACAATGGACTATTAGCCATAAAGACTGTAGGAGCCGCATAGGGTGGGCTGCCTCTAGTCCGAGCATTCAGGAGACTGATCCCAAAGGATCGCTTGAGCCCTCAAGTCTAGGGTAAGCCTGGGAAACACAGCAAGACCTTGTCTCAAAAGAAACAAAAGAGACCTCAAAGGAGCAGGTGGAGGGTGAACCCAAAAGCTAGGGGCCAGTCCCAACAAAGCCACTGCCATACAGGGACCAGGTAGCATCCTCTCCCCACTGTGTTGCCTGGGACTCTGGACTGTACTGCAAGCATGCATGAAGGGATGAAGGTGTGGCCCAACCAGCACACCCGTGGGTCTTGGGGAACTGCGTTCACCTGCATGAGCCACCTTCTGCTCCCAGTCTGCTGGTGCAGTGTCTGATTTTATTACTCTTTAGGCTTATTGTTACAGAAGCATTGCATATGCATTGTTAGAGAATTTGAAAATATGGGTGCATAATGTTTCTAAAAATAAAACATCACTTTTACAGTATCTGGAGTAACATTTTATCATATGTCCTTCTTGCTTTTTTCCCCCAGTCATCCTCACCTTTATCTAACATTCAGTCCATAATCAAATTCTGGTTGTTTTTAAAGTTACAGTCAACGAGATCCTCTGATGGATTAGATGTGGGCATGAGGGAAAAGAGGAGTTAGGAATAACTTCAAGGTTTTGGTTTGAGTAACTGAGATGAAGGAATGGCCGTTAATAATAACATTTTTGGTGTTGATGAGATTAATCCAGTGGAAAAGGAGAGGCTGATGATGTAAGAGAGAAAAGGTGGAATTTCTGGGACAGTGGTTTTCTCTATCAGGGGAGAAGAATGTGAGCAAGTACCAAACTGATGGGACTGGCCTTATTTCGGAGCACAGATGGTCTGCTTATTGTCACAGGTGTGAGGCAAAGTATGTGGGTACAGAGGTCACTAAATGTGTTGGGCACCTGTTCATTGCACAGCATCAGCTAACAGTGCGAATGCAGACACTGGAGTGCAGCACAAGAGAGAGTAAAACAGTAGAAACATAGAGGATTCCAGTGGTGCTCTTCAGAAGATAAAGCACGATAATGTGATAGTGGCTAAGGGTTGAAGTCTAGCTCTGGTGGTTGGAGAGATCCTCTGTGAGGGCTTGAGCTCTAAATTATGCTGAGAAAAGGCCAATTGATGGAGCCCTGTGACAGAGGAAACAGAACATGCAAAGGCATCAAAATGGAATCAGTTCAGCATGTTTGAGGAAAAAAGCCTGCCAAGTACAGTGAAGAATTCGGGGTAGAAGTGAGCAGCAGGCAGATAATACAGGTCCTAGAGGAAAGGCAGAGCCCTCTCTATTACATATAGTAAGTGCTCCACAAATATTTGTTTTTGTTTGGTTGTTTTCGGTACCGGGGATCGAACTCGGGACCTTGTGCTTGTGCAGCAGGCACCAGAACCACTGAGTTAAATCCCTTGCCCTCCATAAATATTTCTTGACTTACTTTCCTTATGTTTGTCTTCCAAATGTGTCTGTGCTTCCTCTCCCCTTCTCAACCTCCTTCTGCTCCCCTAAAATTCAAAGCACCACATTTTTCCCTTGGAATTCCCTATACTTTGGAAAAAACCTCTCCTCACATCTTCAACCTCTTTACCACACACTTCTTCCTTTCTCAGGGCTCTTTCACAAGAATATGATTTTTCCTGCAGCTCAGTTTGGATAGATAAGGCTGACTTTCTACCCCATTGCTGCTTCTTGACCATGACTCCTGAACGCTCTTGTAAACCCCTCTCCTTTCCATGCCACCAGAGTAAGAATTGCTTGATTTCTTGCTTTACCATCTGCTTGCATTGTTATCATCTAATCTCCCACTTACTCTTCAGCTTCACCTAGACTTTACCACCTCCTGAAGTGAGAGTGCAGAGATTGCTTCCCCCCCCACACATTTGGGGAAATCGCAGGGGTCAGTACATCCAGAGTGCAATGGAGGAGCCTCACCCTGGGAAAACCACCTTCGTGATCATGGTATCTCCCCTGCCAGGTAAGTATGAGAGACTGCTTTTGAAAAGAAGCCTGATAACCTACTATTTCAGCACCTGGTAAAGTCCAAAGTCACAATAGCAAGATAAAGGAATAATCAGTGGAGTCATACCTGTTTCTTAGGACACTGGGTATCCTACTCATCCCATAGTCCCAGAGCCGCTCCACTGCTGCAATAAAATAGTGTCGTGTTCTCTTTTGAAAGCTGCGGGGACCTTGATTTTCATCTTCGCCATAAATCTCAAAATCTCTCTTGGTTTCACCTGAGATGGCATCATCATAGTAAACGTCTTCTTGTTCCGACTGAAGAGTAATAGAGGTTGTTTCCCTTTGATGACGCTTCAAGACAAGTGGGTTTGGAGGGCACAATTTTCCAGTCCCTCCTTGCTTTCCCCCAGTGGCTTCTCCTTGGAGCCTATTCTGCCCATCGCTTATTGCTACTATTGTGCAATTGCTTTCACTAGGGATCAGAGACAAAACAGAGTCCTTTTTCTTCAAAACTGTATTTTTTGGTGACTTCTCTTGGGATCTCCACTTATCTTTTGGCATCTGGGTAGCATACTGATTCCCTAAAACAAGAGGACCCAGCAGCTTGGAGTTCATCTTTTCAGAGCTTTCTGTTGTGCCTTTCAGGAAGGGCGCTTTTCCAGGTCCATTTGTCTTACTCCATTTTATAGTTTTTGTTGTTGTCTGAAGAAGAATCTCTTCTGTGTGATCCAGGTGAACAGGAGACTCATGGATTGTTTCTGTAAGTAAAAGGTCTTCTTGACGAATGGGAACTTTAGGAAGCAATTCAACTTTGCCAAATGTTTCCGGCAAGACTGGTTTCAAGAGAACAGTGTTCTCCAGTTTCTTGTACGCAACTGAGTTTGTGGCACTTGTCCCCAAGGAGCCAACCTTTCCTTGTTTTCTGATTATCTCCAAGGGTAGGATGGCTAAAGAAAGGTTATTTATTTTGGGTACTTGTAAGAAATGACTGTCTTCTTGGGCCATTGGACTTTTTGCCTTAAGACTATAATTACAGGTTGATGCTAGAAAATGAGAAGAGCTGTCTTGAGATGATATCTGTGTCAGATCTGTAGGTCTAATGAATGGAGGTGCTGATATCTTTGCAATGGGTAATGCAAAGCTCTTTATCTGATCGATGCTATGATTCCTCATAGGAGATATTGATAAAGGAGACTGAGTAATGGCCTTTCCTTCTTTCTCTTTGTAATCTATTTGGGGCAAATATTTCAAGTTTTTGGACCTTTGTGTTGAGGGGTCATCTACAATTAGTCCCTTTTCAACCTCCGTTTCTTCTAGTGGGAATCTGAATTGTTTCAAAGAACGCTTACCACGTTGGGCAGTAATATTCTTCTGGCTTGGATTAGGAAACATCCCCGCGGTACTCAGATATTTGTCAACCATTTGCTTGGTTTGATTTCTAGAGCTGTCTTGGTTTGTTTCCTCTTCTTCCTGTCTTTGTGAGAAACGAGGCTTGTGAATCTTTGCCCTATTTGTTGAATTGTTTAATAATTTGGTGTCTGGAAGTGTTGGTGCATATGTTCCCTCATCTAAACTTATGTTTTGTCTAGTGCTCAGTAAGAAAAGTTTCTTCAGGAAATTCTTAGTGCCAGTCACTGTATACACCTGAGGCAAAACTACATTCTCTTGGGTTAATTCTTTCTTCTGGTTTATCTCTTCCTGAATTGTTTTTTCTTGATTGTGTGTATCATTGTCTTTTACATTAGCCAAGTTAGTAAGCAATATGCTCTTGTTATTTGGAATAAGCTCTTTGGGTCCTGCGTCCTTTGTAAATTCATTTTCTACCACCACTTTATTCTCTTCTGTCAAGAAATTCTGGTGTTCTCCAGACAATTCCGATCCTAAGGATAATAATTGCTTTGGACTAGGCCCTTGCCCAGAGTTCAGGGAATTCTTTCCATTGGTCCCGTTATTCCAATTTGCTGGCTCTGGCAAGAATAGCATCTTGAAAAATAACACATCTGGATTTTCTTCATCTGATGGCACAAGATCTGCTTGTTTTTGATCAACTATTTCCAAATTTTTTGATGAAGTAGTTTTATTTGACATATGATTTAGCCTTAGAGCTGTAGTATTTTTGTCCATAGGCACTTCATCATGAATCAAAGAGGTCACTCTTTGAAACTCAGTATCTCTTTCTAATATAGTACCTTGCCAGACTGATGTACTATTCTCAATTAATAATGTTGGTCTATCAATGTGAGTTTTTTGATTAGTTGTCGAATAATTAGATGTTTTGTTTGTCTTTATCAAAGAGATATTAACTTTGAATAAAACATTATCTTTGGTCAACAAAGCAGGTCCATGAGCTGTCTTCTCTTTCAGTGACATATCACTCTCCATTGATAATATATTTTTTCCCAGTGAACTTTCTTGAATATTCACTAACACTCCTTCTAACAACTTAGATTCATTATTTCTTTCACTCAAGCTCAGATGTACACCAGCCCCAATAAGGGGAGACGGCTTTTTGTCAAGTACACTGGTGCTTAATTGACTACTAACTGGCATATTTGGGGATCCTAAGGAACTTGTCTCTTCAGGACCTGCTGCCAAGTTGTCTGCTAGAATTGCTGGTGAAACCATTAAATTATTTGGTGAACTAGAAACTTCTAAATCAAGTTTTTTCAACTCTACTGCTATAGTTGTCCCCAAATTCTCATTCACTCTTAATTGGAGGCTCGGTTCAGGAGTAAATCCAGTATCTCCACTCTGATAGAGCTCTGGCCTGATGTGTACCACTTTAGATGGACCTTCATTATTGTCTATTGCTCCAGGTAAATAATCATCGGGAAGAGCTTCATATGTGGCTTTTGGGATATCAGATAAGGATAACCCATGTGGAGTTGGACTCTGTCCCAAGAGCATGGACAAATCACTGGAGAAGACATTGTGTACTTTAACCATCCCTGTTCTCTCCCCAAACTGAGGATCAGTCTTCTCTTTGTCATTTTCTGCAGTTGTGGTGGCTTTGAATTGCTTTTGCCTGGTAGTAGGGTGCCTTGAATTCTGGGAGAAACTTCTGGGTTCAATGATATGGTTTTCACTCAGCAAGTATGTTGGAATATCTTCATATGTGTCCTCATAATAATCACCAGTGCTCCTGCCACAGCTAGAAACCTTCAGTAAGGCTGTCATACCTCTACTCCGAAAGTCTGAGTTGTGGCATCCCAGAACCCATAGACCTAGAGATGAGAAATAATAACTCTGGTTACTCAAAACCCTGGTTCTAAGAAAGTTCTGTGCTATAGATTCTCTCGCATTCTAGATAAATGAAAAAATACTAGTGTAGATCATTATAACACAGGTCATTGGGTTAAATCTAACATGTATAACATATGGTGTACAACATATGGTCCAACAATGGTGCTAAAAGTAGTTTTTGCACTGCTGCTGTTGTTTTATGACTGTTTGTGACCACAAGAAAGGGCTGTGAGTAAAAAGTGAAACAATATTGGGATCAAAATGGAGAAGGATGATGACAGTTATTTAATTCAGGAAAGTTTTTGTACAGGCTGTTTTATTGTATATAACAACAGGTTATAGACTCAGATTGCTTGAGTTCAAATCATAGCTATATCATTTTTCAGATGTGTGACTTTGAACAAGTCATATAGCTCTCTGAGCTCCAGTTTTCTCACTTTTTTCTTTTCTTTTTTTTTTTTTTTTTTGTACCAGGCATTGAACTCAGGATCTTGTGCTTTTGAGGCAGGGGGCAGAACCACTGAGCTAAATCCCTGGCCCAGAGCTCCAGTTTTCTAATTTGACAATGAGGCTGATAGTATCAACCCCATCATGTATGTGTTATGATTTGGAGGTTGTCTCCCAAAGGCCCATGTGTTAAAGATTTGGTCTCCAGATTGCTGCCATTGGGAGTAGGGGCAAATTTAAGAGGTGAGACCTAGTAAGAGGTCTTCAGGTCATTAAGAGTGTACCTTCAGAAAAGACTAAGGCAGAACTCACATGACCTCTTAGTAATTCTCAAGACAGGCTTGTTATAAAAGGCTGAGTCTGGCCTAACCCAGATGTGATCCTTGCCTTGCATGTGTTCTACCATCCACCATTCATCATGGGATCCTAGCCAGAACCTGCACCACCTTGATTTTAGCATACAACATTGTGAGCTAAATAAACCTTTTTTCTTCATGGATAGCTTGCCTCAGGTATTTTGCTACAGTGATGAAAAACTGACTAATACATTGTCACGACTTGGTAAGGTCAGTCAGCACAAGGGAACAGCACTTATAAAAACCCACCATGGTACTAGCTATATTAATTTCTATCATGGGCAGCATTGGCTGAGTGAAGGAATTCAATGAATTAATAATAGGCATTTACATGATAGTAAAGTAGATACATAAAGGACAAAACATACATTTACCAAGCTACCCATCAGGTACCTTAATCATTTCACACAACCTTTGTAGGTAAAATCTTCATTTCATCTGGCTTTAACTCAAAGGGAAGCCTTTATGAAAAGCATATCCCAGAGGACACGCCGAATCACCCCTGCAGACAGGCAGCCACCTGATTCCACACTACAAAGATGCAGAGGACACCAGACCACCAGACCAAGGTACTGAGTCCCACTGTTCCAGGCCCAGAGGTAGGGGCTTCTGAGCCGTCGTCCCACTGCTCCTGGTCCAGAGGAAGGGGCTTCCCGGTCACCATCCCTCCCGCTGCTCCCA